GCCGCATCCAGGCGCTGTGACGCCGATCCCCCCCGCTGGACCCCCTGGACTCGGGATGCTGGTGCTGACCCCCCGCTCCCCCCGCAGGCGTCCTGCGCTCGCCCCCGGCCCCCTCACCGCCGGCCCCGCTCGCCGCCCAGGGCCCGCCCGCGGCCGCGGTCCTCCCACCGCGTCCCATCACAGCCCGTCCAGGGGGCGCTCTAGCCCCGCGGGCGCCGCTCTATGGTCCTCCTGCCGCCACGTCACGGCGCGCTCGGCGGCAGCCAATGGGAGCTGCGAGGGGGCGTGGCTTGGCTTGAGGCGGCCCCACCTCCCGCGGAGGGCCGCTCGTTGGGGGAGGCGGGCCTTCGCGGTGACGTCACGAGCCGCCGCGTGACGTCACCGCGCGGCGGGGGAGCGGGAAGGGTGCGGTTTCATGGCGCCCTTATGGTTGGAAAAGACCTTTGAGGTCACGGAGTGCGGCCATAAACCCGCCATGTCCCGTCCACGTGGTCCCGGTCCCATCCCCTGCAGCCCCTTCCAGTGCATTCCCGCCTTTCCCATGTGGACATTTCCCCTCATGCCCAACTGGAAGCTCCCGTGGCGCAACCGGAGGCCATTTCCTCTTGTTACTCCGGAGAAAGGATCAACCCCCGCCCCACTACAGCCTCCTCTCCGGTGGTTGTAGAGGGCRATAGGGTCTCCCCAAGCCTCCCTTTCTCCAGAACAAATATTCCCAGCTCCCTCGGCTGCTCCGCACGAGGTCTGGGCCACGACCCCTTCCCCAGCTCTGTGGCCCATCTCTRGATATGCTCCAACCTCCATGTCTTTCCCGTAGTGAGGCCCAGGGCTGAAGGTGCGGCCTCCATGGGGGGACAGTCTCTTCCCTGGTGCTGCTGGCTGCACCATTCCTGATAGAAGCCGGGACGGCACTGGACTCGGCCAGCGGGACCCGCGCTTGGCCTTGTTCACAGCATCACAGAATCCTTAAGGATGGAAGGGACCTTTGGAGATCAACTAATCCAACCCCCTGCACACGCAGGGCCACCTGGAGCAGGTGGCACAGGCTGCATCCGAGCRGGTTTGGAAGTTCTCCGGAGAAGGAGACTCCACAGCCTCCCTGGGCAGCCCGCTCAACCTTATTGAACCTTGTGGCTGGTCTCAGCCCATCGATCCAGTCCAGATCCCTCTGTGGAGCCCCCCTACCCTCAAGCACCTCGACTCTTCCTCCCARCTTGGGTGCAAACTTGCTTAGGGTGCCCTCAATGCCCTCATTCAGATCATAGATAAAATTATTAAAGAGGACAGGCCCCAAGAGTGACCCTTGGGCAACCACCCTCATCCTCTAGGCCGGTCACCCGGTAGGAGCTCAGGTTGGTGAGGCAGGACCTGCCTTTCATGAAGCCCTGTTGGTTGGGCCGGAGCCCCTGGTTGTCGCCCACCTGCTGGGTCACCGCCCTCAAGACAATCYGCTCCATAACCTTCCCTGATCCCAAGGCCAGGCTCACAGGCCTGCAGTCCCCTGGATCCTCCATCGGATCCTTCTCGTAGGTGGACGCCACATCGGGAGGTCTCCRGTTGTCCGGGATCTCCCCCATTGACCGAGGTCCCTGATGCATGGTGGAGAGCGGCGTTGTCACCAGAGGCAGGGAGGAAGGAGYGGGGGTTTCCGACGGCCATTGGTGGCCTCCTTGGGGCTACCTGCTCCCCCGCGGCCTCCCCAGCAACTTGGGGCCTCCCTGGAGCCTTTCCTGGCCCCTCAGGGTCTCCCATCTCCCTTGTGGCCTCCACTGGCCCCCTGGCGTCTCCCTTCTCCCTGTGGCCTCCTCAGACCCTCAGGGCCTCCCTGTGGCCTCCACTGGCTCCTCGGGGTCTCTCCTCTCCCCTCYAGCCTCCCTGGCCCCTTAGGGCCTCCCTTGGGGCTCCCCTGGCACCTTGGGGTCTCCCCTCTGCCCTCCACGCTCCCCATCCCCTTGGGACCAGCCTCCATTGGTCCCTTGGGGTCTCCCTGTGGCCTCCCTGGCCCCTCAGGACCTCCCTGTGGCCTCCCCTGGCACCTCCCCAGGGACTTAAGTCCCTGTTTGGGGATTGACCCCCGGGGAGCCCTTCCCTTCCCCGCTGGGTCCTGCAAAGCTTCGGCCCCAGTTTCGGCAGGAGGGAAGAGGCTTCATTAACCTCTGCTTTATTAACCAGGCTGATTAACCAGGGCACTGCTGAAACGGCGGGATCCATTTCCATGGAAAACCTTTGGAAGGAATGTTGCCCATAAACGGCTGCTTTCCAAGTCCTTTAAATTCCCGAGCGGGGATGACGCCGCTGTTAATGCAAATCTTATTTTTTGGTTACTCTTGAAAGCGTTTCTGCATTGTTAATGCAGACCATAGTACAATTTAGTCCCTGTGTGCGCTGTTTCRCCAAAAATTTGCTCTGCTAAGCTAGTTGCTCCCTTGGGACCACAGAAGAGATTTTTTTTCTTATTATTATTTTTCCTTGGGAGGTTTTCGCTCGGGGCATTCGCAGAACAGGAAATCAAAAGCAGGTGAATAGCCCCAAACAAGCCCCTGCCCCCTGAGCGCAGCTCAAGGAGGTCCCCTGGAGTGGAAGATTCACATGTTTGTGCAACCTAAACCTTTCCAGAACGTGGAAAATAAACTCCTTTGTCTCATCAGAGCCACTATGTGAATTTGCGAGCTGCCTYGTACCTTCTGAAACACTGCGGGCTGGCGTCAGCATTGGAAGGGCTTGTCCCCTAATTCAAACACGCTTGAGTTCTGTTTTCAAGACATTTCTTTCTGCATGAAAGAGGGCTAGAAACTCCTATTTTTTTTACCTCCCCCTCTTGTTTTTCCTGAGGCTGCTGCTGTTTGCACGTCCCCACGCTACRTTAAGGCACTAAAAGGCACTAAAACATACACGGGGGGCACAACATCTTGCTGGCCGGTGCCTGCTGAGAGCTGCAGCTTCCCAAAGGCTGCTGAGCATCCGGGCCCTTATGAGCCTTTCGGGAATGATCCCAGGAGCAGAGGTGGCGGGTTTAGGATCCCAGGAGCCCCGTTCCCGCTGCCTGGGGGGGAAGCGCAGCCCGAGCCAAGGTCCTTCGGGGCACATAGGAGACCATTCAATACATGGGGTTTCCAATGGACTTCGTACGCGAGAGAGCAGCTAATAAAACTGGGCTCCGCTGAACTTTGCCTTGAGCTGGACTTTCATGAGTTATTAAAACATTTCTTTACACTCAGTCTTTGCTCCTAGAAGAGTCTTCCAAAATTCCAACCAGAAGACGTCTAATTCTCATCCTAGGGGCAAAAACCTGTCGTYTATTTTCCCCTCATCCCGTGGGACCATCCGATCCGCCTTTGGGGCAGGAAAAGGGACGTTCCTGCCGCAGGGCCTCCCTCGGCTTTGTTTTTGGGGGTTGTTTCCCAACCAACAGATGCTCCAGGAGCCAACAGCCCCTGAACCGCAAGCCCATGGGGAGCAGGARCAGAAAACTCATGTGGAATAAACCTGTATCGGCGCAAAATGGAGGGCAGCAAGGATTCCCGTCCGCTCGTCGATAGGAGGGAAAAAGGAAACGAATTCCCACCCCGTGACTACTCCARCCACCGGTTTTGCAGAATTTATGGAAGGTGGAAGAAGAGCCGAGCGGCAGGAATCCTTTTCTGGGTCACCTCCATTTTTTGACGACTTATTGCGCTTAGGCGGGAGGAGATCCACCTTTAAAGGGCACCTGAGCACGGGCAGCCAAGGCGGCTCCTTGCCGAGGGCTCCGGGCCCCGGGGTGCCGCCGGCGGGAACGCCGCGGATTTGGGAATCCGCCTTTGTTCGGTGCTGTGGAGCGCCTGCAGCATCCACGGACCATGTCTCGCTCCCCAGCTGGTCCATCTCGTTTTGCTGTTGACTTTTTTGTCGGTTTTGCGCTGGTATCAGACATCGCATTCGTCCCCCCTGTCCACCCACCCTTTGCTTGCTCTTTTCTTGCTTTTCTGTATTTTTTTCTTGCCCACATGAYAATGTTTTTGCTGCGGGAAGGATTRGCAGCACACAGTTCATCCTAGCAAAGGCCTGGGGCTCGGGGAGGGGTTAACCCCAGCATTTCGCAGCGCTAATTTCTTTAATTTGCACGTCCAAACGGGCCCATGGCGGAGACGGGAGGGGGGGCGCGCAGCCATGGCCTCCCCCCGCAGCGC